GTGTACATGGTGTGCTCGTTGCCGTTGTTGCATTTCGGGTGACGAGGAATGAACGTGTACCGCAAGGCCTTCTCAACGCCTAGCAAACAAAATCAGCAGATTTGCTACGAAACCAAAAAGTACGTTCATCCATGAGGGGGGAGGAGGACAAAGCGACAGCCGAGCAGGATTAAAAACTTTTGGAGGAGTAAAGAAATGATTCATGAGGTTTAACCCTTGGAATCCCGTGGTGCCAATATATCGACTCTTCCTAATGATATATAATTCTGCTTGAGAGCAAAAATATGAAGGAAATCAATTTTGAGGTTCTTCACTTCCGCCGTAACGATAGGTCTCTCAATGAATTCGACATCGATAAGCTGGAGGAAGCAAACGGAGAGGATCTTAAGGATTGCTATACTGTAGATGAGAAATTAAAGTTCTCTTCACACGGGCACGAGAAGGTAGCTAAATGTACCACGATTCTAGGCTTCATCCGACGTTATATTGCCAGGAAACGATCGAACATTATCCTTCCGTTATATGCGGCGCTGGTAAGACCCTAATTGGAGTGTTACGTTTAGTTTTGGAGTCCTACGTATGAAGGTGACCTAACGGTGTTCGAGAGGGTTCAGAGCGGGGCTACGAGCATGATCAAGGAGGTTAGGAGACATCCGTATGAGAAGCGTATAGATGCGTTAGGATTGTACTAATTCGAGAGTAGGTTAGCGAAGGGGGAATTCATTCAGGCATCCATGGTCATTATGGGAATTGGTAACGTATTACGTGGTAGGTTTTCCCAGTTCAATTTTAGAAGCAGAACGAGTGGGAACCATCTCAATTTGCGCATACCCTAGGAGAGACGCAAATGGTGACAAAACTTCTTTACTTGTAGGGTAGTGAACGTGTGGAATCCGTTTAGTGACGTTGTAGTGGCTGCCCCTACCGTGACTAGCTTTAAGAAAAGACTTCATGCCTTCATGAACAAAACAAGTACCTTGAAGCGACCAGGCAGTACGTGGCTACGCTCCAAAATTGAGACTATATTTAAGAGGGATAGGCCTATCTTATGATACGTGATATCAGAACGCTCGACCTCCACACTGGACATTATAAAGGGCGGATAGGCCTCCTGACGTCCCAATCCAAACCTTGATAAGTGCTGCACAACAATTCCAACTTAAAATTCATTCGTCTGGCCTTCAGCGAAATTTCAATCATTATCCCATTTCCACTCGCAAAGCACCAATGGAATCTACTAAATCTAGAGGTACATCTGCTGTTCATCTCAAATACTGAGTTCTTCGTAGCGAAAAGAACGTTTACATAGGCAGGATATTGAATTTAAATTAGGCGCAATACAACAAAAAACCCTTGTTTACAAATAGCATTTGGATTCATGTATAAGGACGTTCCCAATAGACGAGAAAACGAGAGTTTCCGCAAGGATATTTTGACCGACATTATGTGATGCTTTAAAAAATATTTATTCTGCTAATTTTACGCCCTGACATGATCTTTCCTTGCTTTTAGGGAGTCAAAAAAACAGGCAGTAGAGCATGAGTTCAAGTGTGCACGGTCGTGACGCAATCTCAGAAAGCATCTCAGAAAATACCTTGAAATATCGTAAATAAATGCAACCAAAACAACCTGGATATCACTCACAAGTACGACAGAGCTGGCACTTGTTAATGGTTAACTAAGGTCCAATGTAGAGGAGTTATATGATGGCACTACGACTCGTTTATCTAATCTAGGGAAAGCATCCGAGAATACTTTCCACAGATACGCGCGAAGTACCTCCCCCGCCATCTTCACGGATATACGGCTACACTATCAGCTATGTTTCTATAAGTACCACCAGCAAGACTTAAGTGTGAAGCACACGCAGCTCATTCAGGATAGATCCGCGCTTTGTCATGAGGCTGTGATATCTATGAGGACAAAGGACGAATAATGGATTTTGATTCAGGTCAGTAAGCCTGCTTCAAAATGGATGACTTGTTGACTTTATGTTTTGAAAAGGACACCCCGAGTAATGCAAGAATCTTTGAGTGGTCTTGTCATTCTCAAGATACCTGCGAGGTGGGCTTGGCAAGAAGCGTCCGGCGTCCGGCAAGAAGCGGTAATAAAGGAAGACGTCAATGTGCAGGGCTTTGTTGCAAAGATTGAAAATCAATTTGCGTTCAGGAAGGTGCAGAATTAATGAACCAGTTATATATAACCCCGACCCCCTAAGGGGCTCCTTACTGGATCGTCTAGACTTTGTCATGGTTACCTCACATATGCGAGATCAATCTTGAAGCTCCTAATAGGCAAGATTCAATTTCGCAGTCCAAAGGGGTCTTCTCCGGGTGTCTATTGGAAACAGTAACAGAGGAAAACCTTGCTGGAACCCATTTGAGCGTTTCACATGTGCATAGCGCGGCATTATTGCTCTACGATCGAGGCGGAAAAGCCACTTCACGTGCATTCCATGGACCGTGTTCATGCAACAGCTGGAGCGAAAATGGCGCCCATGCGCGTCAGCCAATCAGATGCGTCGAAAAGTGTGACCCAGGTTGGCCAGGCTCTCTCTCTCCAGGGGCTCTAGGTCAGAGTTCCCGTCTTCCACTAAAGCATCCATTTTCATTCCAGCCCTCACGGATGATGGATCCATAGTAGAAAATAGGCGAGCGCGGCTGCTCGGGATCGAGTAGACAGGGTTGCTAGGCGTAATGCATCCTATGCTCCATACACTCCTTCCATCTCCACGCGATGCGGACGCGCGCACCATTAAGAACATGTCTATTTGGACGGGCCCTTTCATATATGCCTATGATGTACCAATAATATTCAATAGCTATTATTTTTTCAAGATTGGATGGCTAAGATGCGACGAATATGCTAT